TACAGACAGGGCATGCGTCTCGCGCTCGCCAAAGGTTATGCGGTGCTGGAAAGAGGCGGCTCGGCCCTGGACGCCGTTACGGCTGCAGTCTCGGCGATGGAGGATGACGAAAACTTCAATGCTGGCAGAGGCGCCGTCTTCAATGCGCACGGCAACATCGAGATGGAAGCGAGCAGTGAGTCGTGTAGGTGAAGCTGCTTCGCTACCGAGCATATGCTGACCCGATCCTTGGCCTCAGTCATGACCTCCCGACCACCTCCCACCACCGACACGACTTTCTCCCAAGATGAAAAGGAAGCCAGCACCCTTCGCTCTTCTGCTGCAATGGGAGACGCAGCCGTTCTTCCGCTACCTTCACAATCGATTCCACCACATCGGCGCTGCATGTCGGCCACGCTCTTGCGTCATGCTCGAAATCCAATTCAACTGGTCAGAGCGCTCTATCTCAATCCTACGCAAGTTCCTCATCCGTATCTTTCCTCTTCAGAAGCAGAGGTGCTCGGCTTCAAGCTTCATGGTTCCCGACCCGCTCCGCTCTCGTACTTTTGGACTCGGAGGAGGTGGCTCGAGCACAGACGGGGGCTGGGCCTCTCTGATGATCTGCCATATCTCGCAGAGCATCAGCAGGAGGTTGACATTTCAAGCTTGCGCGCGGACAGCGAAAGAGAGCGACACCACGAGTTCCCTCCACCGTCCTACTCTGAGCAGACACCATCGCTATACCGATCGTCGGACACACAGAGCTACAAAAGGTCTTCATTCGAGTCTTCGGGCTCGAGCGCGGGTCCCGAGACCCCATCGATGTCGGTTCACGATGATGCATCCCTGCGCGAGCATCAGCCGAGGTCGAGCATAGAGACTGACGAAGATGATTTCGATCCTGCTTCCCTGCCGCAAGGCACAGTGGGTGCTGTAGCGCTTGACTCGCACGGAACGGTAGCTTGTGCTACCTCTACCGGCGGAAAGAGGAACAAAATGCAAGGTCGCATTGGAGACACGCCAACGCCCGGTGCTGGATTCTGGGCAGAGGAGTGGGCGGTGCAAGCATCAGCCGAGGTTCCTCCAATTGACAATTTCCAGCTCGGGATGCGGGCCAGCAGCGAGACGTCTCAATGCGCAAGCTCGACTAACTCTGGGGAGACCTCGAGAGGCAGCTGGACGGCGATCGTTCGGCGCCTTTTCTGCTGTCGCAGCATCGACATTGAAGAGGACTTGGAACGCTCTCCTTCCGCTCCCTCCACTGCTTCTAGCGAAAA